AAAAAAACAAACATTTCGATCATGGATTACAAAAAAAAACAAACATTTCGATCATGTATTACAAAACATTCGATCATGGATTACAAAAAATTCTATCATGGGTTAACAAAAAAAAAAAAAACAAAAAAAAGCGATCATGGATTACAAGAAAAGAAAAAAAACATTTCGATCATGGATTACAAAAAATTCTATTATGGGTTACAAAAAACCAAAAAATTCGATCATGGATTACAAAAAAACAAAAACAATTCGATCATGGATTACAAAAAAATAGATCAAGTATTACAAAAAAATCTATTATGGATTCCAACAAAAAAAAAAAAAAATCCGTACGGACTCGCCGATTCACTGTTTGGACTCGCCGATTCCGTACAGTGAATCGGCAAGTCACTGTGCAGAATCGTCCGGTTCTCTCTAGAACTGGACGATTTCCGATTTTTCAACCGATCTGGTCCTTTTTCGCGAATTCCGAGTCGAACCGGGCCAGTCCGGTTCGACTCGGCTTTTTTAAAACGCTGGGTGGTATATTCCAACCTCGGGTACTACGTCCTCTCAATCCAATGATAAGTTGCAGGACACATGAGGCCTAGGCGTGTGCATCAAGGCTGCCTGCTCCAAGATTCATCTTAAAAAATCATGGTCAGTGGTTCAGTCTCACAAAAAGCTCAGTTTTGAAGACCAATGATTGTGGGTACTATTCGCATCCATCTCTTAAATCTTAAATATGCAAGAAAGTTACTTTGTAGCTACTGATTTGAACCCGAGATCACAAACATTATAATGCTGGACATTAATTCAAACATATTAGAGGGACGAAATAAGAACTCCATCAACTCAATCCAACCAATATCTCCCCTTACTTGTCACATACGGCCGTTTGGATCACCGAAAATGTATCTCCAGGAAACGCATTTCGTGGAATCGACGTGATTTACCCTATTTCACGCTCAAATGGTGGACAGAGTTTGGAATATGTCTGCCTTCCCAAATACGTTTCTACAAAAAAAATAAGAACAAAAGGTTGCCGTTTGTGTAGACCTTAGGCTCTAAACAATCAAATTAGAGCCTACCTTCAAATAGGGTTGAGAAATGTGGTTTCAATGCTGAAATTTTTTGTGATAGCCATAAAATATATTTTCATATTTATCTATAAAGTTTAAAGTTTAAAAAATAGTATAGATCGACAGATCTATAAAAACTTGATAATTAACCGTCCAAAAATATATTACAAAATACCCTATTTCCAAAACTTGAGATCCATTTTTTTTCTCATGTCCATATATCTTGATGTCGAGATTATCAATGTGAGGATATTTGGCCATCAAAACAACTTCTTCTAGTGAAATTTTATTGGTAAACACCAATTTGATTGTTTATATCCTCGGTTCTATATAAACTTTTTCCAAAACAAAAAGAAGATGGAAGATGCATTTCTTCCTAGGGAGATTAAAAAAACAATGAGAGTATGTATAGAAAGAGAGAAGTTGGATAAAGAAAAGGTCGAGAGAGAAAAAGAGCGCGATAAGAAAGAGAAGTTACATAAGAAAAAAGAGAATGTTTAGGTTTAGGTAAATTATTTTATGCGTATCACATTTCTATATTTGCGGTGAAATCAAGTGATTCATCTAAAAAAAAATTGAAACTAATTGTTCAATTGTTTTTTTAATAGAATTATTATTTTAAATTTTTAAAATTTATTTATTTTTTCGTATTCATGATCTCTATGTTAGATATTACATGACTTTAAAAATTAAGATGAAAAATCCATTTCAAAAATAGAAAATAGATTTTTAAGAAGTGACTCATTTCTACAACTCGTAGAAATAGTGTCCTTAGATTTATAATACACGTTTACGGAGAAAAAAGGACTTACCAGTAATAGGGAGTTAGAGAAAAAAGGCCTAGTTAAGATGAGTGTGAGAGAAAAATGACATGTTAGAGAGAGAGAGGATTTTAGATAAGTGACATATTAGGGTGGCAACCTTAAACATTTCAATTAAAGCGCACGTTCAAATTTTATCAAAACATATAATTTTGGTGTAAAAGTTTTTAGGATTATCTTAAAAGCTATATAGATTTATAAACATATGAAAATCTTAAAACTTATCGATCTGGATAATGTGTTGTAAGACGCACTATTTTTGGGACTCAATTTTTTTTTTGTTTTTGTTCATATTCATACATATCGATGTTGAGATGATCCATTAGAGGGATTTTCAATATTAAAACAATATTTTTCGATAAATTTTTGAGGTGCATATTTAATTCTACATTTTAAAGTTACAACCTTATATAAACCTTTTCCAAAAAGAAATGGGAAATAGAGAGAGAGGGTGCAGTTAGAGAAAGAAATTAGTTAAAGAGAGACGGAAGATAGTCATAGTGAAAAGTGACGATATGAGTTAGAGAGAGAGAGCCAATATTAGAGGGAGATGAGTTAGAGATGGAAAGGACATTGTTCGAGGGAGAGGCGCATAGAAAGAGAAATGAGTTAAAGAGAAAAGGCAGGGTTAGATGAGTTAAAGAGAGAAGATAACTGGAGAGACAAAAAAGTTAGAGACGGAGAGAGAAAGAGAAACATAGAGAATGGTTATAAAGAGAAAGGACGCATTAAGGACGTGTTTGTTTTTATGAAATATTTCTTTAAAAAAAGGGTCTTTTTTTTTTTTTCTACAAGTTATGCATTTGACACGGTTTCATTTAAAAATTCGTAAAGTAATTTTCCAAAAAAAGTTCTCATTCTTTTGTTAAAATATGAAAGTTTAAGTTTGAGAGTAAAAACTTAATCTTTGTTTCTTTTTACCAGCAAAAACATAACAAAAACAAGTTAGTGAAAGAAATGACAGAGTTAAAGAGAGATGATTTTAGATAGAATGGCACGGTTAAAAAGAAAAAAAAATTAGAGAGAGGAGTGCGCTCAAAGATAGAAGTCAGAGAGAGAAAGAAGTTTGTGATAAGGGTTAAGGGCATATCAGCGAGGATTACCACTAAAACATGATTTGCCTTTGGAACATTGGGAAGAATTATTGTCGTTTAAATAGACATAGAACACAATGGCCAAATTAAACTTTATATATTACTTGAATAGTATAAAATTGGCAAATCCAAGCTTCACATATAGGGCTGTATATATTACTTGAATAGAATAAAATTGGCAAATCCAAGCTTCAGGTATAGGACTATGTATATATATGTTACTTGAATAAAATAAAATTGGCAAATCCAAGCTTCACATATAGGACCGTGAAAAAAGAAAATTCAAATCAAGGGATGCGTCGTGATGTTATTCTTTTTTTTAGATAATTCAGTTGGAAAGAGGCATGTTTTTCTAAATAGTTTAGGAGTTAGTTTTTTAAAATTCCCTTGTGGTGGTGTTAGTAGGAAGGGTGCGGTTTATATAGAGCCTAGGCTCTAAACAATCAAATTAGAGCCTACCTTCAAATAGTGTTGAGAAATACGGTTTTAATACTGGCAATCTTTGTGATAGCCTTAGAATATATTTTTCATCTTTATTTATAAAGTTTAAAGCTTCAATAGTGTAGATTGGCATATCTATGAAATCTTGAAAATTGACAGTCCAAAAGTGCATTGCAAAATACATTATTTCTAAAACCCATTTTTTTTCTCATGTCCATGCATCTTGATGTCGAGATGATCAATTTGAAGATATTTGGGCATCAAAACAACATATTCTAGTGACAGTTTTGAGGTAGGCTTAAATGATTGTTTAGAGTCTCAATTCTATGTAAACTTTTTCTTTGTAGGAATTGAGGAATAAAAACCACAACGTGGTGACTAGGATATAGGGGTGTTACCACCATGACCGTAGCCCCTTTCGGTGATGTTATTCAAACAACATTCACCCATCTATACAAATTTTGTATATCTCAAAAGATTAGTTTCCAAACTTTGAGTTATTTATGTACGGACACAAAAACGAAAGGAAAAATACAGCTTCATCTGTTTTTGTAACTGTTACATGGAAGGTTGGATGGCTCACTTCCTTTTTATTTTTCCTATATCTCTTGATCGGATGTTACCAACATCGGATCAGTTTAAATTTCTTTTACCTTGTTGCCACAGTATAGTAGTACGAGGTCTTGGACCTTAGGCCGCTTATTCGACTAAGCAGTTTTAGAGGTTGGGGACATCGGTCTGACCTTGAAGTGAAAAAAAAAATTGAAGCTACCTTGATATTGGTAACATCGGACAGATGGACAAGCTAAAAAGACTAAAAAACATGTGTCCACCAAACTTTCGCGTAATATTTACGGAAAAAAAAAAGAACCTCTTGTATTTTTTCCTTTTGTTTTTGTGTTTAGTCGCAAGTAACATCCAAAAGTTTAATCAAATGTAAGAAATGTATGTTCAAAATTAGTGACTAATAAAATACCAAATTCGCAATTAACATCCAAAAGTTTAATCAAATCTAAGAAATGCATGTTAAAGATTAATGACTAATAAAAGGAAAAGTTTATATAAAGATGCAACTTTAAAATGTAGAATTACATATGCACTTCAAAAGTCTATTAGAAAAAGGTAGCTTTAATGTTGAAAACCTTTGATTGATCATTTGGGCATCGAGATGTATGAACATGAAAAATAAAAAAATTTTAAGTCTCAGAAATAGTGTATTTTATAACATATTATCTACACTATCTATTTTTAAGATTTTCATATGTTTACACATCTACTTGATTTTAACCATTTTTTAAATTTAAAATTTTATAATTAGATATAAAAATAGATTTTGAGATAATCCTAAAAACATTTACATCAAAATTATATACCATTATAAAATTTGAAGGTGTACCTTACCTCTACAGCTACGGATGCACCTGTATGCCAACTACACCCCTAATAAAATACCAATTCTAGTGACAGAATGGAAAGCACTAACCAGGCACTTACCCTGTTTCCACCATGAAGAATGGATGGAGACTAGCACTTGATATTCTCACCCATTTGTTCGCAAAATCGCCTGATCTAACCAATAACCACTCGGTTAGATCAGAGGCTGGTTCCGGTTTTGGGTGGTTAGGGTGATCAACCGGTATTTAAAAAAAACAATTCAAAAAAATATATGTAAATTCTATAAAATAAGAAATTTGATTTGTAATGTATTTTTAAATATTCTTTACATTATGGTAAAGATTAAAATATGTTTTGGTCATTAATACTCACTTTTATATTTCTCCATATTTTTTTGAAAATTTTAAAAATAACTTTTGAAAAATAATAAAATGGGTTAAAATCTTTTTTTTTTTCATTAATTTTCAACTTCATTTAAATGTGTGTTTTTTTAATCATTCTTTATATATTTTTCATATTTTACTAGATTTTTTTATATTTTTTAATTTTTTTCAATACTTTTTTGACTGCCCGATTAGAGCGGTTGAATCTTTACCGGTTAGGCCGATACAACCATTTTCATGCCATAGTTAACCGTTTCGGTTGGATTTTACAAAAACGATATTCACACCAATCAGGGACTCTGTAGAGAGAGAAGCACAAAGAAGGGGTATTCAATCACCACAAATATAATAGAAAGGAGATGACGAGTAAAGAGTACAATGCGTGTATATAAATTGGACAACGGTTGCAACACTAAAGACACGAATTAAAGAAAGAGAGAATCCGATGATCGTGTTTCCGTATTCGCATTGGGGGCTTCCCTAATTTAGGGAAAAAGAGATAAGTTGCTCTCTCACCGCCGTACCCTCGCCTACATCTATGATGCCTCACCGCAAAGGACACACTAGAGTCAACGGGCAAGTCTTTCTCCCGTGTTCATATTTTCTCAACGGCCGTACTTCAGTTTAACTAACACCTTACGATAAAACTAGTGTTTGTAATATGGGCCGATTCAACTTGAACCAGGCACCGGTTGGTTATGGTTTTGGCTGGTTTTGGTGATTTGGAGATATCTTTGAGCAAAAGATTTGAGATGACGGATCTGAGGCCGACAAGGTAAATCCTTTGGATTGAAATTGAAAGATATTAACATAATGGAATTTTGTCACTATCTCAAATGGGTTACATAGAAAAGTTGTTTAAAAAATTTGGCATGGAAGATGCAAAGCCGGTGAAGACACCCCTAGCGCCTCACTTCAAATTGTCTTTAAAACAAAATTCGAAGACGAAAGAATAAAGAAGAAGCATGGCTAAGATACCCTATGCAAATATGATTGGAAGTTTAATGTTTGCCATGATATGTACAAAACCGCATATCGCATATGCGATTGGTGTTCTAAGTTGGTTTATGGCAAACTCCATAAATATTCATTGGGAGGCAGCAAAATGAGTGCTTCGGTACTTCAGAGGTACAACTAGGTATACAATCATATTTGGCAAGGGCTCAACTCAAATTCAAGGTTTTGTCAATGCAAATTTTGCCCGTGATCTTTATAAAGGTAATTCATGGAGGCATCAAAAGAAGTTATGTAGTTTCAAGGATTGTTGGGTGAGATACATATTGTTTGCAAGCTCATGGAGCTATTTTGTGATAATATAGGTGCTATTCATTTGGCCAAAAACCTGGTTCCCCACAAGAGGTCAATGCACATATTATATCCTGTAAGTTGTTGAAGATGAAAGAATTCGATTGGTCAAGATCAAGACCGATGACAACTTTACGGATATGCTTGCGAAACTCATCCAAGTAGAGAAGTTGGAATGAAGCCTAATTTCTCTAGGTTCCATGAAAAGAAAAAAGTGTTAGTTTGACAAAGCAAGAGTGTGATTTTGCATCAAGGTGGAAATTGTTTGGACGGAATACCAAATCACCAACCCATGTGGTAATTTCATGTTGTTGATGGTCATTTTAGTCATAATGAATGTGCCCTTTTGATGAAGGTTTTTTTAACTTGTTGAGTTGAGTGCGAAAAGAGAGAAGGAAAAACGAAAGGTGAAAAAAAGTAGAGGAAAGTTTGGGGAGAAAAATTGGTGTTTTTGCAATAAAACCCTAACACCATTATTTAGGCTCGTGTTGGGCCGTTTTTGTCGGCATTTACTTGAGGCAACGATCAATCAAAGAAAGGAGTCGATTGGAGATGGTTTTGTTGTAGGACATTCTTTTTTTGAGCTTTTCTTGATATTGTATGAAGTAACTCTACATAACATCAATCTTATAACTTTTTTTTTCTCTTGATAGTGAATACATTCTTGCCGTCTTGCCTGACGTAGCCCATCTTCGGTGAACCACATAAATGTGTGTGTCCCTCTTTACATTTCATTTGTATTGTGCGTGTTTCTTTATTTATATATTTTCTCAAATATGTTGTACTTGTCATTGTTCTTGAGCATCTTATTTGAGTGTTGAAATTATTGTTTTGGGGTGCTCACCACATCAAATAGGGAATTACGATATCCCGATTTGCTCAAAAGGGATAATTGGGTTATCCTGATTTACAACTTCTCTTTCCCTAACATGTCACTCTCTCTTTTATTGATCTCTCTCCCACATGTTCATCTCTTGAGCAAGAAGGAATATATGCTCCTAAAGAGGTGGGTACCCTTTATATAGGGAAAAAATTTATATAACATTGCAACCTTAAAATGTAGAATTAAAGATGCACCACACAAATTTATAGGAAAAAAGTATTTTTATTGTTGAAAAACCCTCTAATTGCTCATCTCAACATCGAGATGTATGAATATGAAAAAAAAATATTTTGAGTCTCGAAAACAATGCATCTTGCAACATATTATCTAGAACGTCAACTTTCAAGATTTTCATATGTTTATAGATCTATTTAATTTTAACCATTTTTTAAGTTTAAAATTTTATAATTATAGATAAAAATTTAGAGGTGCACCTTAATTAGATCGTTTAATGTTGCAACCCTTTATATAGAGGTTTACAGTGGTAAAGTTGAAATTAGTTAAATTAATCTTGAACTATAATTAGGATATCTATGTGAGAGAGCTAATCTCCTAGTCCATAGGATTCCTCAATTACTAATTCTTAATTAGATTAAATTTCCTATAATTCGTCCGATCTTCTCCCAACCAAGTAGGACTCTTCGGCTTTTCAAAACCAAAACAAAACCAACCCCATTTAACTATTCTTAAACAACTCCAACTTGCTATGGGCCGCACAACGCACTCCTGTCCTCTTTGGCCTCCGCGTGACACCTGTGGTCATTGGGGCCATGGGTCAAAAACTGAAAAAATGGTTGGTTGTGCACACAGTTACACGTGTCCCATAATAGACCCACACGTGGTCCATTTAATTCTCCAACAATAAATTAAAAAATCATCAAGAATACCCTTGATTTAGAAAATGGAAAAGTTTATATAGAACCGAGGCTCTAAACAATCAAATTAAAACCCACCTAAAATATTTCACTGGAAGAGGCTGTTTTGATATCCAAATATTCTCAAATTGATCATCTCAACACCAAGACACATGTACATGAGATGAAAATGAATTTCAAGTTCTGAAAATTATGCATCTTGTAACGCTGTTTTGGATTGTCAATTTTTAAGATTTTCAAGTTTTCATAGATATGCTCGATCTACACTATTTTTTAAGCTTTAAATTTTATAATTAAGTATGAAAATATATTTTAAGGCTATCACAAAAATTTTCAGTATTAAAACCACATTTCTTGATACTATTTGAATGTGAGCTTTACTCTTATCGTTTAGGGCCTCAACTCTATACAAACCACACCCTTTAGAAAAATCGCTAAGTTTCAAAACAAATTGTTAATTATAGAAAACATAATTATTTTTGTTTTCTTAGAAAAACTTGTGAAAGCTATTTTAAAAAACGTGAGAAGAGGATCCTAGCAATTGAATTAGAACATCATTTCAACACTCTATAAGCATCATATGGCCCCATCATCGTCATTTTCGTTTTTGTTCCAATTAATTGAGATCGACTACATGAATCTTGATTATCTATTATGCTCTATTAAAGGTCATATCCTCAATGAGATATCATATGACCGCATCTACACCTTAAATCAACCCAACAAACCATGACCTGCAAGTCTTCCATGCAAGGGGGCCATGTTCTGCTTATTATAGCTAAAACATTGAAGTGCCATAGTGTGGGAACAGACTGCAGGTGTGTGTCTAACTAAGGACAAGGTTATATTCCATTACCAAACCAAATAACACGAATGTAAGATGTGTATCGAAGCCATCGGGTACTCGTCCCAGCAAGCCGTCATCTTAACACACAATAACCCGTTTCATATATTGGCTAAGATATATCATTGGCTAATACAAACCTTGATGGGGTGATGACCGTGTATCCACTTTGGTGAGCTCATCATAGGAACTGAAACTATGTGTTTATGCACTATTTCTTTCTTTTTGTGCTTTGATTGTTCTTGTTGTTCGATAATTGTTGCATATTATTACGTTTATATTGATTCTTGTATACCTTTTTTTTTCTTTTTTTTTTCTTGGCACTTCTAGGGCAGGAATCGAACTTAGGAGGTAGCGTTGTTACTAAACATTCAAGCCCAAGCTTGATTCCTAACCAATCTTCTGGTTTTTATTTTTATTTTTGGTGGTAAATCAACAGGGAAGGAGTCATCTATCCATATAAGAATAGAACTCAAGACATTACATTGTAGTATGCCGCTGCCTTGACAACCTATGCATCGTCTTTGTGCCGATTCCTAAATTCATAATTAGATCAAGAGGGCCACAGTAAATTGACCAACTCTTGTGTATTTCTTCTCACTCGTATCCACCTCGAGATTGAGGCTTTTACATTTCTTCTTATGAATGAATCAATTCTTGCGTCTTTTGGCGGTCATAAACGGTTCTAGAGCATTTTCCTAAGGGTTGGTATGGCATCCACATCCTATGGATGCTCAAAAGGTGCACAAGGACCTTTTAATGATTCGAACGTGTTTTTAAACTCGGATTGGTGGAGCAGATCATTCACCTACATATATAATGGGAAATGTTAAAAATAAATAAAATAAAATAAAGATCAAAATGAGTGTTCATGGGATGGGGATTTAGGGGAGTAAAAAAAACAATAATTCATAGTTTAAGAAACGATATATATATATAT